TAAATTTACCTTGGATTACCGCGTAAAGCTGCATGTTGTAAAGCATTAAAGCCATTGTTATTAGCCACTGTAACATCAGCGTTAGACTCTAGTAACATGGTAACCATATCATCTCGCTTCTTGGAGATTGCATCATGTAATGGGGTGTCTCCTTCTGTATCCTGATCACATTAACAGGAAAAATAATAAAATCTTGTAAAAGCGTAACTAAAGGCGGAGAGGAACAGCGGGAAAAATAGAGCCTACCTAGAATAAATTACTGATGTGGGTTGTTCATACGTTGGACAGCCCTGTCCACTGGATAAATCCGTACCCAGTGGATAAGTGTTACTGGATAGAAATTTTCTCCAGTGGATAGCGTTGTCCATCTTTTGAACAAGAGATGTTGAGTCGGTTTACTTCTGCGTCGATAAAATTTAATCGAAAAAAACATTCTTCGAAGAATACAAGGAAACGAAGACAAAAACAAAAACAGCCCTGGACAAACATTGTTATAAGCAGTTAACATAGGTAAAACTTCTAAAAACAATTAACTGATTGCATTCGTCACAGGTTTAAACAAGACCCTCTTTCCTTATCAAGGTCAACCACGAAATCGTCAAGCCCCTACACTACACAGGAGACATCAAAAGTACTCGCCTGTAAGCTTGGGTGGCATCCCAAACCAAGAAGTTTCTTTACCACTGCTGTATGTCCCTTATTGACGGCCACATGCAGGGGTGACTGACGCCGTTTGTTTCGAGCATTCATGTCACTTCCGGCTTTGATCAACTGTTCGACGACTGCAGCCTCGTCCCCGAAAGCAGCATGATGGATTGCACGGTCACCGTCTTTGTCCTACATAAAGAAAGTGAAACTCTCTCCATATTTTTTGTTCAACAAATGAAATTGAATAACCCTGTCATAAACAATTCATTGAGAATAGGATCCCATTGAAGAGAGGAAAGTGGGGCCTTTTTTGACCTCTACAATGTATGTCTTTAAGATAAGTCCGATTTCTAATCATCTATTTCAAATACTCTAACATCAAATTTATCTTTTTATGGCCTAATATCAATTAGTAACAGACGTAAAATTCTTTTGATATTTTATCAACACACTTCACTCATTACTTCTTTAGATTTAGAGAGAAGGTATAATATGAGCAGGCAATAAGAATTGTACTTACCGGTACTCATAGAAATCTGCCTGGGCATATTGCTAACCTGATATTATCTAGCCTGCAAGGAGGCTCACTTGTGCGAGTTCAGAAAAAATGTTGGCCGCAGAACAAGCAGGCGCAGCCTGTGAGAAGAATGGGGCGAAGAAAAGTGAGCCTCACTTTTGCTCCACCGCCGAAATTTCCCTGAATTCGGAACTCACACAGCTGAGTCAGCTTGCAGTCTAGAGATGGTTATACATGTCACTATTTGAAACCAAAAAAATTCCTCTCCTCAGCCAACGGGAATAAATAAAGAGAAGAAATGAACAAACCTCTGCCTCCAAGTCCACATCGAATCTAATGAGAACTCTGACAGTGTCTTCATGGCCATTTTGACTGGCAGCTTGAAGAGCTGTGTGTCCAGCAAACACACCATTGACCTAACCAAAAGATAAAAGAACGGTAATTACTATGTTGTGAACTTTTCATGCAGCAGAGAAAAAAATTATTGTTGACTATAGCAAACACGACAAAAACGAGAACGATTCAACAACACCATGTACACTGAAATGAAGACTGTAAAATAATGAGTGGGTTGAGGTGGGCAAAATTAAAGGGTGTTGAAGAGTGATGCACAGTATGAATGGTTTTCCTGACTACTGAAAAATGATCCTTAGAAAAAAGGTGGAATGAACATGTAATCCCGAAACGTTTGTCTCAAGATTGGGTCGATGGCTACAGTTGTACGCATGGAAAAGGTGCATTCAAAATTACATTGGCATCTTCTTTGAGCAGAAGTTCTTCAACTCTTTGTGAGTCACCATTAGCAGCAGCTTTAACGAGCTCCTCAACTGCATCTCCGGGAACATGAGTCTCAAATAGCTTCTTCAACAGGGCTGACAATCTCTCTGCTAAAATATTACAAACAGCAACTAGTAAAACACACAGTCTAAGCCACACGCTTTCCAAATAAGTCTTAATAACCCTGTTAAATGCAATTTAACTACGTTAACAACAAAGAGGAGCCAGGGAATTTTTGGCCAACAGCAGTAGCTGCTTCAGTGCTAAGTGTTTGAGGTGCATTTAAATGTGTTCAAGCATGCCAGTTTGGTTTAAAGTGTATGTGGTCATCCTTCTTTTTGTTCTGGCCCTTCCTTCCCAACCCTTTTCTTTTCCGCTGTTAACACAGTGTGATGGGTGCCTGGATGACACTGTGTGGAGGCTCATGGCTGGCTTGTGGGGACTACCCACAGGAGCAGATCACTGTCGGGGGGCCCACTGGTCACAGTGGAGTCCCCCTGCTATCCCAGGTACCCATCTTCTATACACTATGATGCTACTCTTAGTTCTAACTGAAAGAGTAAATCTCACCACCAGCAGAAGCACCCACTGAGGGTGACTCAGTACCAGATGCTACTTTAGTCACAAGAGCTGGATTGTAAGTCCATGAAGTGCCACAGATCTCCACCTGAAACAAAACAAAACATGATGGCTGTTCTAAAAACTCCACAGATAAATCGCTCAACTGGTAAATTGGCCTTTGGAGATATCCAGACTAAAAATCCGGAAATAAATGAACCTTTAAATGGCATGTTGATTGAACAACACTTTTTAAAAGACTTCGTGTCTTTATCAAACTGTGCACTGAAATGAAAAGCTATTCAGTATATTATGAACACCTATTTGATATGTCTTGTAAGTTTCCACTTTTAACAATTATTCCACGGGTGCGTGTTGGATATGAGATGGTTGATAGCCAAAGAGGCACGTTGTGCCGAGTTGGTTATAATCATCTCATATCCAACAAGCGCAAGTGGAATAAATGTTTTATTAAAAGTGCCAACAAAATATCAAGAATTCTCTCCGACTGTATTTGTAAAAACAACCAATTTTCAGCATGTTTTAATTTTGAGCAGACGCATACAGCTACCATATTTGGAGAGCATGGTATAATGGCTCATATACCATGATGGCTAAGCCAATCAGAGCTCTAGCTTTGCATTATCCAATGATTCAGTTTTTAATAATAGAGATTTGTGCAGGGTGGCTTCACTCTGGTACAGAAATCACACCAGAATCACTGTTCTTACATGTGAACAGGAGCCCTATCCAGTATGGCTTTTGTGCCAGAACAAAAGCTTTCCAGTAGAGTGTGAACACAGCCTAAAGCTATTGCTTCTTTGATGTTCTCACTGCTGTTGCCGTTGCTACTATTACCAAGTCACACTAACCTTCAAGTCATTGTCATGGTAAATCTGCTGCACTCTACCAACCTTGCCAAGAGTCTGCAAAATAATTACCAGGAGTGTGACAAGTAAGCACAAGCAAACTTTTGCCCTTCTGGATATATTGCAGTGATGTGTTGATACACACCAGCTTAACAGACAGATTAATTTGCTGTATGAACAAGAGTTTGAATAGCTCATCTGGTTAAAACCTTATCTTTGAATTTCAGCTTTTCAAAGTGATAAAAAATTGATGATGGATGCACAGAAAATCCTGTGTTTCATCCACTGTACATGTAAATAGAGGAGGTTGGCTTACATGTACATGTAATAAATTAAAATTACATTATTATAAGTATAAACTTGCTTGAACTTCAAGACCAAGTGTGCAAAAGTCATTTAAGTGTGGTTGTCACTAGGGACGCAAGCATAACCCCAAACATAACATGGTTCTCACAAGCGATGCAAGCATAAGCATACAGAGCTTTTATGCAAGTGAAGATGGCCTTGACATATCAAAACCTTGTGTTCCTCTTATGTTTGTGTTGCTAGTGATGACAGGGCTTTAGAAGAATGCCCAAGAGTATAAGGTTAAACTGTTCAAATAATGTTCAACATAAGTTACTCACTGGTAGCATTGCTTCAGCCCACTCGCCATGCCCTCTTTGAAGTAGTTTGACCCTATCAGCATCCTCAGTGATGCGTACCAAGTCTCCAACAACAAACTGAGATGAAGACGCTGTTCCTGATAAGGTGCTCGTCTGTAACGTAGTGTTCAGAATGTCAGCAGAAGGTGACATTATTGTGGAGGAAGTAAGGGATAGAACGCTATCAGATGATTCTGAAGAGCTAGTTACTTTGGTCAAGATAGCTGGGTTAAAGGTCCATCTAAAAAATGAATACAGGAAAAGAAGGATCAGTATAAGAAATGTCAAAAGCATCAGGTTGCTTTTACACCTGTAAACTACGTTCTTCATGCCTGGTGGAACATAAGCCCTCTGCAGTCTAGCCTCTCACAGAATCTGTGAATTTTTTTCTGTTTCTAAGCGTATCCACCCTGAAGATAACGTCCTACTCCAGGCATATAGAGCACTTTTTTTGAGGGGAGTGGGGGCGGGGGGGAGAGATGGGGGAACAAGGAACAGCCTAAACTCCACCCTTCCTTTATATTAGAAGGCAGTGTCCCCAAGAAGTTAGAGTGCTGAAGTTGCAATGGAAGGTCCTAAGATCAAGTCCTTCTTGAGTCAGTATTTCACAAACTGAACACAATGGGATTTTTTTAAAAATTTTTATTCATAGCATTCTTGGGAGCAAATGCTAACAAGAAAATTGTGACTAGCTATAAATATTTAACAATTACTGAATGAGGCTGAGTATTATCTGAAAAATTATGGAGATCGAGGAGGGTGTTATCATAATTCTTCAGATGATACGAAAGCCGAATTCAATAATTGTTTTATTATTCAATCAAAATAATTCTTTGTTTAAAAACAAGCTAAAACATGCTTACCTGCATTGATGTTAAGTTCATCTTTGATAGTGCATGTTAATCAGCAAGTTTAGGAGATAAAGGGTTGTTCAGCTCTGCAAATATTCTCCAAATAGCAGATGTCGTCAATCAAGTTGTCTTCTTGCTGTTCTTGCTATGTTTTTTGCAAATACTTTGCCTATTTATTCCTTGTGAAATGAATGAGATGTTCTGCCATTTTTTTACTCACTAGCAAAACAACTCAACCTTGTCCTCAGGTCTTCTCAGTTAACCGTTCAATAATCTGGCAATCTGCTGCACGATTGACATCATCTTTCACATATCACAAAATTCTTCCAAATTTGGTTGGAAAGAGCTGGTTATGATTAATTATTTAAGGGATTTTAGCCAATCAGAAATGGACAAATATTTTAAATGAATAATAATATTAATTATCTTTTACCTGTTACCAGTGGGGTACAAAACCATGATGTCATGATCTTCATCAATACCAACCACTGTTCCTGGAGTTGTAAGAGTCTGTAAATTGAAAAGAAGTTATTAACAAACAATGCATAAAAAATACAAAGAGGATATTTCTTGGAGATAACTTTGGTTCTGAGGTGACAACAAATGTAACACAAACCACGTGACTTCAAGTGACTTAAAAAAAACAAAGTAACCTTGAGTACTATCTGGCTATTAATAGAAGGAAAAAATTAACCCAAGAATTGCTTAAGTTTTATCAGGTTGGTCTCCAATCTGATCTTGGTGTGCATGTCTAGATAAGGTAATAAGGTAATAAGGTAGGTAATACTTTATTTAGAAATTCAAAATACCAGAGAAAGAGAGAGAAATACAAGAGAGCTCCAACAACACTCAGCTGGTTTCCATGGAGAGTTTGTTGACACATAAAAATCGTATATTAAATTAGTATAGGTAATAGCATGACTAACTTGTAGTGATATTTGGCATAAATACCACGAGTGATATTTCGAAATTGTTATACGTAATTTCACGAGCCGTTAGGCGAGAGAAATTAGAGACAATTTTGAAATATCACGAGTGGTATTTATGCCAAATATTGCATACAAGTCATGCTATTATTTGTTTATACTACTACCCGCAAAAGGTTTGTAATTTTCACATGTAGGTATTTCAAATTAAGCTGAAATACCACTGCTCTAAGCCAATCAAATTGCAGTAATTTTTCATGTAGTAGTATAACTAACCTAATACTAAAATTTCTTATACTACTACCACTACTACTATTGCTATAATTACAGAGAGTCATTAAAAGGTAACTTCTATTAAGATACACAGCTTGGCAAAACCCATCTATAATCTAATAAGCTTCTTGAATGAAGAGATTGACTACTTCATTTTTCGACTTACTTTCATACCTACCTCATACATGCCATCAGTCCATCCTCCATGACCATGCTGCAGGGATTGTACAATTTCAAGATCCAGGTCAACAGTGACTTGATCTCCTATCTGTAATCCCTGACCCCTAGGACCTGATGGCCTGGTATCACCTAAATGGTGAAATTATAATTAAAAATTAACCATATATACATGTACGTGTACAAAACGAAGGCTTAAAACATAAGGGCCATTGTTACCATATTAACCTGCAAGAATGTAGTGGTTGTTGTTGTTTGCTCTTTTAATTTACAAATTTCATTTGTAAGTATGAAATTTGAATGCTTATAAAATACAGATGGTGAGGAGTAGTTAAGAAGATCATGATTAGCAAGTAAGCCAAGGTGTCAATATTGAATTTTGCTGGTCATGAATATTACATTAAGCCAATGCAAGTAGACCTATACCCCTGTGCATCCTAAAATGTAGATTGAACAGTGACCGCAGTAGGATATTAAAGCATAAGTTTATGCGTCCAAAGAAAGTAGTCTCCGATAGCCCAACACTAGTGGACTTTCCTGTTGGCCCAGTGAATTCTGTTCTTAAATAGTTCAACAGGCAACTGACCTGCTTTAGGGAATTCAAATTACAGAGGAACTGAACTGTAATCAATTCTGGTCATCTGGAATTTTTTGGGGGCTGGTTGAAATGGCCTTTAGGCTAGTACATGCTAGCTACAGCTTCCCCAAATAGCAAGCTGTAAAACTTACTTTCTTTGCACCCTGATATTATAGCATAAGTTGTGCTGCTTACCCAATAATGGCAAGTGGTCTCTATAAAATTGACCTCCTTTGGCGTCACTGATTACTTTAAGATCAGCCTGCATCACAAAGAAAACAAAAATAAAATAAATACATAAGAAAAGTGTACACAATTAAATAAGCAGTCAGGTTAAACAATCAGATAAACATAATAACCACCACATTGATCGATTTGAATAACAGTACACTTGAATGTCATTATTGCTACTGATTTCTTGTTTATGGACTTGAAAGAAAATGGGGTGATTACAGATGGGACTTTAATATCTCAGAATTACCTAAGAGTAACTACTATAAACTGACAGATTGACAAAGTACACTACATTAACATAAAGTGTATATGTACACAGGTTTATTCTTTTACCATGCCCTCAAATCCAAGTCTATAGAGATTTTTTGCACCATTATCCCACAAGACATAGGCAGCACTGCGTGGACTTGTTGTACTCCAATCTTGGATTTCAGTTACTTTACCCCTGCGACCTGGACCACCTTAAACACAAAACAGCAGTTACACTATATTCAAATACAAGAGTAGAAAATACCACAATGTGCCTTCACAGATACTGAGCGGCCTCTAATTCATGAATAATCAGGGCTAGGAGACAAAGGGAATTAACAATCAACCATGGTTAAAAACTTTTAACCTGAATATAATTTTGACCTGTAACATACACACTGTATAAGGGATTGAAAATCTTTGAGCTATCAAGCTTCATGCATGATCATGCAGCTGCCATCTTTGATTATGACAGAAATGTGATGGTGAATTTTACTATGCTTCTCAAAAACATGTGAATTCTGAAGTTCAAAAGCCAATTGACTTTTGCATTTTTCGCTGCTGTCAATCTTCTAAGTGGACCTCTTACGAAACAGAAGTTTACTTAACATCAGGTTCAAAAGGTCATGGTTTGTGATTTGTGATTGGTGGATTTTGATCCATTTTGTGTGTTTCTAAAAATGTTTTAGGGTTTGTTGCTTGTGATCCTAATTGTGACTGACGGCAGCGAAAAACGCAATTGTGAAGGCGGCTTTTGAACTTCAGAGTTGGCGTGTTTTTAAAAAAAGCAGTATGCCTGATGAAGGATATTTCAGTCAATGGCACAGGCAGCTCAGAGCACAAAATCTGAGTACTGCCAAAAGGAGCTAATGCTATGACCTTTTGGTTAGAAGCACATACAGTACATATAATCATGTGATAAAATGTATGAGACAGTATTTTTTTACCATCTTGATCTTCCCATTGCCAGTCTACTCCACGCACAACTCTGGCACCTGGAAATATTCCTCTGGCTGTAATTTTTTTGCTTTTTCTACGTGCTTCAACAAGTGCTCTAGAAAATACAAGAAATAGTAGTTCAGTAAACTGATGTAGATTTTGAAATAGTCATCACAAGGCTGTGCTCACAAAACTGAAGGGGGCCCAGTACTCTGACTTGTGAAATCTGGGGTGCCCAGCCTATGATTTCTATGAAAAAAAAAAAAGAAAAGATTTCCAGTCACCCAGGCCCAAAGGTTAGGCACCAGCTGGGACCACTGGGCACTGCTATGGAACAGCCTTGTATCAGGTATACCTGCCAGAAATACAGTCAACTCTCTCTTAAAAGACACCTCTATAAGATGGACACCTCTCTAAGATGGACAAAAAATACCTCAAAACAGAAATATAGGTGCTCTACATGATAGTAAATTGCAAAATGTTTGATATTTTGTAGTCTTGCTCTAATGAGGAGAGTGTACACTGTTACGCTTTTAGACCATGAAGTTGTTAACAGTTACTTGTAATGAATGTTTGATGGTACAATAAGAAAAAAATTCCACTTTTCTGTTACAACGTTCCAGTTTTACGTATAGCTGCTGCACACAAGTTAAACAGATGTGTATTCATTGCAAATAGGTTCAGCTTTAAAATTACTGGTGTCACATTACCTTGACTCTCTATAAGCCAGATACCTCTCTAAGATGGACAGTCAGGACTGGCTCTGAATTTGTCCATCTTAGAGACGAGTTGACTATGGAAAAAACCTAGTTGCAAGAAGCACCTTGATATTTTCAGCTTAGCCTAAAAAGGTTTGTACAGAAAATGTAGACTACGAAGGATTTTTGTAAGCAAGTTTTTATTTCAGAAGAGGAAAATATGAGACAAGAGAGGAGTTAACTATTCATTCAAAATATTTCCATCTCTGTCAAAAAAACATGCTTATCACGGTCTATAGGTAAAGTCACTGGCTTCAAAACCAAAAGCCTTTTTCTCAGCTGTTTCAGGTTATGAAGAAAAAAAATATTTTCAATAAATGAAAATACAGTCAAACCCTGTAAAGCAACTGTATTAATGGGGTGTCCGTATTAAGCAGGTTGAATTTGGAGAAAACGCAAGGGTTTTCTTTCCCCAGGGACAAAGCAAACTGTCCGTGATAATGAGGTGTCCGTATTGAGTGGGTGCCCTTAAAGGGAGGTTTGACTGAAATATTACGCTGATTTAGCAATAGAACGGGAACATCAGTTGATGACGGGATAGCATGCGAAAAGTGATAAACGCGACTTCCAGTGTCCAATTTGCCCTCTGCCATTGGGTAAGCCAATGGTTTTATTTGCATGCGCCGTCATCACTGCTGTCTCGTTGTCTTCGTCAAATCTGCCTAATATTATTTTGTTCACAACAAGTACTGAATGGAACCAATAAGCTTTGGTCGAGTCTGACTACAAGATACAGGAAACAGTGTATTCAAATAAAATAATGTTGCCAAGTCATACAACTAAATAATTTATAAAAAATTGGAGGATACTGCACAAGATAAATGATCGCTTGTTTTCATAAAGTTATCAAAAGGTGCATTTGAAAAAGTATGAAAACCCAGACATATTGAGGATGCTCCCTCTTCCTCAGTGGTTTAAAGCAACTGAACTGTTGTGCATGCTTTTTCAGTTGCTTTAAACCACTGGGGAAGAAAGAGCACCCTTGACACATCTGGATTTTCCCACCTTTTCATCACACCTGTTGATAAATTTGAAAAAAAATCAATTACATAATTTATCTCTGGCTATATCATAAGAGAACAAAAGGAACTGATAACAATCCCCAGAAAACAAGTACTATATTTTGTTGTACCTTTCTGCACTGGGACCATTTAATCTGTAAAACCTGTGTCGTAAGTGATGTTTGTCTCCATGGTAACATACACTGCATAAGTCAAAGTTTGGGCAATCTGCACATTTCCATCTCATGCCATAGATAGGTTGCATGCGACACCCATCACACATACTTCCATCATGTTTTATTCCTTAAGGAAGATTTAAAAGGTACAATTATTATCGTGAAAACATAGCTGTAACTGCGGATAATATTTAAAATCTTTTAGCATACAGTAGTTACTCTTTTACTATATACTAAATATTTAAGCAATAGACCACACTTTCTATGGGTTTACCGGCGTGATAACCCACGTGGGATGTTGGGAGAACACGAGAAAAGCTTGTAAATCACGAGCCGAAGGCGAGTGATTTACAAGCTTTTCGAGTGTTCTCCCAACATCCCAAGTGGGTTATCACGTCGGTAAACCCATAGAAAGTGTGGTCTATTGCTTTTATAAAATAACTTTTAGTAGAATGGAGTCTTTTAGGTAAAAAAATATGCTTTTAGTACCGTGATCAGGTCATGTCTTCTCTCTAAAGTCATCATAAGCCAATCATNATATATAACATAGGATCAAGTGACTACAGAGTTTCTTTTTTTTATCTCAAAAGGGAAAAGGAAACTCTTCTAGCATTACATGCCTAAAGGCAAACCACGTAAGACCAAATGCATAAATGTTCCGCAAGAAGCCAGCAGCATTACCGGAAATCAACAAAATGTTCCTTCAGATCATTTTAAATATTTATTGTACAGTGTCATCCTGTTTAAACTTGTACTACTTCTGAGTTATCTCAAAAAACTAATACAGAAAAAATCAAAGAAAGAATCCCAGGCTCTAAAGAAGTCCACGTTAGAAATACACTGAAGTTGAAAACATCAGCTGAATAGGATGACTAAAGAGACTTGCGAACTTGTGGATCGATTTAAACTTTTAATGCAAATTTCAATTTTGCCCCGCTTGCATGCATTTAAACTTGAGACTTCATTTGATGTTTCGTTTCTTGAAATATGTGATTGAATTTCTTTCATTTTAAAAACATAAGATTTTCAAAAGAAGAAGAGCACAGAGGAAAAGTATAAATCATACCAGTGGGGCTGCTGTCCAGAATCCTTAGATCGTAGATGCCAGAGCACCGGTAATTCGCAGCGGTACCATTATCCCAAACAACAACAACTTCTTGGTTGCTTTCGAAGTTTCTTACGGTTCCTACGTGTCCTTCACCACCATCTTGTTTTCCCCACCTCCAATCTGGTCCTCTGACAACTCTATAACCGACGTATTCCATTTAAATTCTGAAAATGCTGAAAAAGCGGACGAAAATCGCGAAGAAAATCATCCGTCATCTTCCTTCCTTCGGGACATAATATCGTACATGTGTTATTTATTTGTACCCAGTGCTGTCTCGGCCAACCTCGACTTAATGTCAGTCGACGCAAGATGAAAATTTCCCCCCTGATCATCTGAGTCCGCTGTTGAGTGTTGGGCTGGGCAAATTAAAGAACAGTGTCGACACAGTCCTTATATCCCTACAGGGCATGGTCAAGATAATATCGAGGACATTATGATCTATGAAGATAATCTATTGACATTATGATCTACAGACATGGTCAGTAGTTTTGTAGAAAACATTTTCTCTTACGTTGTTCTTTTGACCATTCCGCCTGCAATAATATCACGTTTGAACATGAATGTAGGCGTCCTGAAAAGGTTTCCTTAAGTTATCAGTTCCGCGTTATATGCGCCAGACCTTAGAACGAGTTTTTGAAACATGAGTTTTTCACTGGACACCCTCCTTTCATAAATGGAAAGCACTTTCGAATTATTTTAGGGCTGATTGGTATAAAACCAAAAAAAATGGCATTTACAAGTACGATTCATTTCTTTGTTTTATTTCCGTTAGCCTCGGAGTACGAATTTGATTATTCGAAAGTGGCCTTTGTTGACTATTTTGACTTCCTTTCATTCGGTTTCCTGAGGAAGTCGGTCAGAATTTGCATCTGAAGGAAGTGGCTTGGTGTTTCAGTTGAGCAAGTGAGTTGAGCTTACTGAATGTGGCGTTTCAAATAAGACGAATAAAGAAAAACTGTAGTAAAAAACAACAACAACAAACTTGCCGCGTCTGGGTGCCAAGAAGGTCCTGATGTCGTCGCAGGAACCTCCGTTCAATCCCTCCTCGGTTCCGTTCCTCGGACCATTAATTGTCGAGCTGTACTTTATTATTGCGTTCTCATTGCCACTTTAAAATTGACCCAAACTTGTATCTTGATAAGGCCTTGGTCTTACTAAAAATACCACTTAAATAGGTTTTAATATGGCCGGGGGGGGGGTAGTCACTCAACTAAGTTCACTACGGGGAGGGTCCACCCCTAAAGTCCGACCCGTTGCCCTTTCACATATGACATATACCTTTTTTGGACAAAAAAGGGTATTCTTTTCACATAATGCATGAATGAATGACTTGTTTATTGACACCTTTTGCAGCTTAGAGCTGAATTGCAGGTACAGGTCAGTTACATAAACAATCATGAATAATAAATTAAAACACTATCAACGTGGTAGCATATGTAATGTACAGTTACCTTCTATACCCAGTTTAGAACTTTGTATCCTTTTTAACTGCCGTAAGTGCACCTTGAGAATAAATATAAAATGACAAAACCAGAACTTTAAACGTTTTCTCAACTTTTTCATCCTTTTCACAGCCTGATGAAATGATCAAATGCACGATCTGGTAGCCTTTTTCAGCCTTTTTACACGCAGACATATTAAATTCTAAAAGCAGAATACTGCAATGTTGATCGTACTACGTGAAAATTAACTCTGCTAGACATCAACACGACGCCGAAAGAACTCAAAACAGAGCGGGATTGTAGCCATAGACAGCTGTTTCGCCCTCTTTGGGGCTCGTCAGTACTGTCAGTATGGCGTAACAACCAGAGAAAACTCTCAACACCCACAGAATCACGCCATACCACGTGTCTTCTGAGGGGCAAGAGTCCAAGTGTCAAGTTGATGTCTCGCGGAGAAAATAAAAAATTGGCCAAGGACAAAACCATGTAAGAATTACGGCATATCGGATCTATAAAAGATCTACGGCCCCAGAATACATAAAGTACAAACATTAACCACAAAGGACTGCAAAGGACCGCAAACGAATATGCCGAAGAACGTAGGATCTATAATGACCTGATAAGCAAAAATAAAAATTCTGCTTGCAGAATTTAATATGTCTACTTTTCATTTTGCTGATCACGTTTTTATAGATCCTACGTTCTTCGGCATATTCGTTTGCGGTCCTTTGCAGTCCTTGTGGTTGATGTTTGTACTTTTTGGCACGTACATGTGGAAATGACAGATTTCCGTCCTCTTTCACATACCTCAACTAGAATGAAATCCTTTCCCTTATTTTATAGACCTGAACCCAAAAAAGGTTTCGGTAGGAGCCTCCCCGGCCGTATGGTCCATTATGGGAGGCAACTCCCCCGGGTAATATGATAGGCTAGGGGACTGGAAACAACTCGGTCAAAGGCCGGATCACAACATTTCATAACATTGCATCCGTGACCGACAACACAAGGAGTTGACAAGGACAAGGAGTCACGGTGAATCCTGGTATTGATGTGGGTGACAAACACAGTCTTTTTCATCATTGAGGAACAGAAGTATTGATTCATTTGTTCTGAAAGAACTAGTAACAAAGCAGACCTAGACTGTGGAAAGTTAACGAGAAGGTAAGACTCGATTAAAACCTTGTCCGCGATTGCAGAGTAGCTCAGAGTGGAAGCCCGCCAAAGATCAAATTTTACACAGTTCGTGTAAGACAACAAATGTTTTCATCGTTTTTTATCGTACTTTCTGGTGGAAGTGCGCTTAATTTTCCTAGCTACATAAAGTGCGTTAAGCTTTAGTTGATGTTTTTGATGTCCACACCAGATTTCAAAGCCGCTACGGGCGTATTATATAATTAAATTGGAAGCATTGTTATGTTCAATTATGGTATCGATCGATGCATGAATACCGCCATTATGCTAAACTATTAGTTGATTCAGGGCGACAAAACGTAGATTAGTTTTCTTATAAAGGCTTGCATTTTAATTTCGCTTTAATTGCGCTGGTCTTTGTTTCCTTTGACGTTAAATTATCTTTTCCTCCCAAGCTTTTCCTTTGAAGTTTGAAGTACTGTAGTATGCGGCTTCTGAGTTCGAATATTGAGCGATGGTCACGTATTGCAGCAATGCCTGTGTTTTATTAAAGCTGTTGATTTTTAAATGATTTATGCCCTTTTGTAGGGGCCGAGATTGTCATAGGCCAGCTGAGAGGCGACAAATTTATTTTTAACTAGCCACTAACCTGACTATCCCGAAAAGTCTTTAGCTAGGCAAGATTGATCTAAGATCCTGCGGAAAGGCACATTCCATGTTTTATCCACCGTGACCCCCTTCCCCCTCTTCGGAAGGCATGGGGATGACAGGATTTTTACAGATTCCGACATGCTCCTCTCACAGGATGCGTAGCAAGCGTTTCCGATCGAGTTATTGCGCGAAAGTTGGAGCGAGAGCAGAAAAAAGTAAATGGAAAAAGGGGGAGAATTCATTTCCCTTTTTTGCTCTTGTCCTGACTCTCAGCTCGCATGGAAACATTTGCCACGAACCCTCTATAAGATAAAATAGTGATTCGGGTCCCTAATGGTATCTGGACAATGGTGTAGCCTGTTCCAGGCATACATACACAACCCCACTTGGTATTTTTCTTTGCGCATTCCTCACTATCTTAACGCATAAAACAGGCTAACATTCTTAGACCTAGGATAGCCTGCGAGAAGGCTCACTCTTTCTTCTCAACGGCTTTGCAGGCTTGCGCCGCCAAAATTTTCCATGAACTTGCACAAATGAGCCTGCGAGCAGGGTAGAACTAGGGCGTCATCGTTTTTGTTATTATGACGTGGAGTATTTTAATGGAAAGGGATTTGGTTCCTATGTGGCCATCAGAAAGAAATTTTAAGACTATTTTAATACTATATCCTTACCATTAAGCCCATTTGAGTTGTGGACTGTGCTTTATCTTTGATCGATTTGTTCACAATGAACATGCTTTTCAAATGCAAAATTTACGACTTTTTGAATAGATCAACTGATTACAGAAAAACGCCCAACATAATGAGCGGGACATTAACTATGTTGTGATGTGTTTGTTTTGTGAAAGTGGTTTTAGAAACTTTTGCAAAATATAGAAAGACAGATAGACAACCGCTTGAGGGGTGGTTAAATGAACGAAACTACAAAACAAAAACTTAAAGATAAACTAAGTCGTTGAGCTAGAGTGCGAACGCAGACATATTTCCGGTCGTCGCTTCCCTTCACCCGAAAAGTAACTTGCTTTTTGGGTGGAGAGAAGCGACGACCGGAAATACCTCTGCGTTCGCACTCTATATATACTATTCTAAAATGCGGGACACGAAATGATGTTAAAACCCTGGGACATGGAGCCGAGCTTGTGTTATGTAGGAAACCGTGTGGCTGCTTTTTCAAAATATGGTTAGCCTGCGAGCAAGCTCACCAAGTTGCGAGAAGTCACGCGAGAGCAGCACGCTCTCGCGCGTTCTCTCACTGCTCACCTTGCCTGCTATAAATGGAGAGCTTGCTCGCGGACAGAGCTGTGGTTTGGATTATGGCCGGGTATTTTACAAGCGCACCGGTCTTATGATATGTAAACAGGGCCTAAACGTGGGGTTCTCTGAAAGCTTCGGCGATTGGATCGCACTTTATATCTGAAAGAAAAAAAATTACTGAGAAATTTAAAAAGTGGAACCTTCATTAAGGACATTAAGCGGCCACCCTCGAGGTATCGATAAGTGACCGCTTAATGGGGGTTGGCCGCCGAATAGAGGTTTGTCATAAATTAGCCTAATCTTTAGCAGCGTCTGATCACTTTACAGTATTTTGAAACAAACACGCGACGGGCAAAGCGGCATTACTGGTACCAATCCCGGGTCCACAATCAGTTGTCACCCCTGTATCTCGTGCGCGGCATTTTCCGTCACCACATTTTTAATACCAAAGCCAAATTAAGTGTATCCAGCGCTTGATGGCCGCTTAATAGAGTTGACAACAACTTAAGGAGAACGCTCTTCGAGATGGCCAAATGGTGGCCGCGGCCGCTTAATGGGGGTTGCTGCTTAATAGAGGTTTCATTTACAAATCATTTCCACAATAATTTCGGGTCTTTAACTGATTACTGGCTGCTTTTAAAATAGAGGGTTGCCGTTTAATGGAGGCTCAACTGTATAGTTTTTTTAATGGCAAAATTGATCTGTTGTATTTGTTTCTCCACACCTCTGTTCGCTAACAAGAAACTTATGATGTGAAGTAAAGACTGAAACAGGCCGGGGTTACTTAAAAGGTTCTATCATCATGAGGAAAACTCTTTTCATGGTCGCTCACTTGCGCCCTGATACTCACTTTTCAAGGCCCCCCAAACTGAATTTTCCCGGGGTCAATCACTGAACCCTCTCTCCCAAGGAGAGAGAGATAACCCACTACACGCGCGGTTTTTTAGTGTTCTTCGTTTGTGGTTGGTAAAGTAAGAGAAAAAGCCAAAAGTTAATCGACGACATACGAGAAAACGTGGGAGAAGGAGGCGAGGGGCCCTGCTCCATCGTTTTCTCGTTTGATCTCTTACCTTACGAAACACGAACGAAAAACACACGAAAAAACCGGCTGTAGCTTGCGTAGCAGGTTTGTTTTTTTAGGTCGAAAGAAGAAAGCTCGAGGACGCGCGAGGAGGGATTAAAAAGGAGAGGAGGCTCCTCCGCCCTTCGCGAGTTCCCCTCGCGCAGCCTTAAAAAAAATTACCGGCGCCGCTTAAAAATACGTTAAGGCGCTCCAGATATTTTCATTTTTTCGGTTTTAGTCCTTCTACTTTAAATTTTCTAGCGACCATGAAGAACTGCGGTGATGGATCGATTTTAGTTGTGGAAACTGTATCATAAGGACTTTGAGAGTCAAATAGTCACTGGAATATAAGACGTAATTTGCAAACTCTCATTAGTTTGCTTGGTTTCTTGTTGTCTACAGCAGGTGACACGGCGCTGGAATGACTGAACTGGTGTTACATGAGGCAGCCGTCAATGGTGAATGGCAGACACTAGAAAGCATGCTGATGATCCACCGAATAGATATTGACCACAAAGACGAAGACTTTGGCGACCGGACAGCTCTTCATTGGGCAGCTTCTAAAGGTCAGTAGACAGCAATTCCGGACATAAGAATTTAGATTTACGTAAATGATCTAATAGACGCCAGGGGTGTTCATTTACTGTTAGGGATCCAAGAGGAGGCGATTAGTAGATAGGAGGCGTTTAAACATATATATATATATTAGGGAGCTTAAGCAACGACGACGGCGACGGCAACGAGAACATCCAGAAGGGAATGTTATTTATTTCAACAGCGACGTTCTTGTCGCTGCGTCACCGTCTTTATTTGCTAAAGCTTCCTAATATCAGCTTTAACTGGTAAATGTAGACAGACTGTGTTAAATGAAGTTGAACATCAACGTGGTTAGAAAAAACGCCAGTGGAAACCTTTTCAAAGAAACAGGCTTGGAAATCTAAACATTTATAGCGGAAGTCTCCCCCGCGGTGGTAAATAGTGACTTGTAGTCACGTGACCTTACGTCCGTCCGTCCGCCCGCCCGCCCGTCCGTCCGCACCAAAGGCATACCAATGTAAAGTAACTCAATCAACAGGTATTGCAACCCAAATGTAACTCGGGATTTTTTTGGCGGGAAATTTCATGGTCACCAATAAGGAGAAAACGGAAAGCGGAAATTATTTCTTTGTCCGTGTTGTCTATGGTACTAAGCCTAGATTAATTGCCATGTCGACAAATTTGGAATATAGAGAAAGAGAAAGGCAGAGACTGAAACGAGAAAGTGGGCGACAAGCTAGCGAAGCTCAGCGAGAAAAAGAGCGACAGAGAGCTAGAGCGAGAGACAAAAAACAAAGGAGACGAATTTCGTTGGAAGAACAACATGAATATTTTGAAGTGGCGTTCTCGTTGCCGTCGCCTTTTAGCATGACAGTCAACTCCCGCTCAGACGGACACCTTTGGGACCGGGACCGGCAGTGAGTGTCCGTCTTAGAGAGATGTCCGTCTTATAGAGAGCCAAATAAAGGGAGTAAAGAAAGGCAGGGACCAACTCTAGGTGTCCGTTTTAGGGAGGTGTTCGTCTTATAGAGGGGTCCGTTGAGAGAGAGTCGACTGTACACGATTGTATTTTTTCAGTAAATTATAAGCATATTAACGAGAGCTTCGCTTTTAGCCCTGGCTAAATCTATATATTAGACCCAGCTTGATATTCATGATGCATGATCGGTTAGACCAGCCTGAGAAGGTACTCAGGGTAGAGCTGTTCCCGGCGAGAAATAATTTCTGCTTGGCAGCAAGACCGCTCAATTAAAGTACTAAAGACGCATTGTTACAGGATTGGCCTACTAAAAGACTATTCCTAAAGTTCATCACTCAGTCCCCGAGATTGCGTTTCTTGCGGCCGAAACACATACACGTGTTTGTATTCCATTTCGTTACCTCATTACGCGGCGCCACAGAGCCAGGTCTTCTTTTTCCTCCTCCTTTCCACTTCTTTTTTGCACTTTGACAAACTTTTTTGAGAATACAAACGCCTTTAAATTTTGAAATGGAGTGTCTAGACAGCAATTCTAGACCGAGAGCGGTCGTGCTTCTTTCCTCAGAGCCACGTGCAGCGAGCGAAAAAGTAAAATTATGGAAATTAATGGTAAAAAGGAGGAGAGAAAGAATTACTAATGATCAAACGTCGAACTTTTCATCAGACGAACCCGTCGAACTTAACTAAGTGGCGAACTAACTTGAAAAGACAAAAAATATGGCCACGCTGCTCGCCCCCTTCGCGTGCTCTCGATCTACTGTGACACACACACAAAAAAAGAGACTGCTCGCAGTCTACAGCAATTCCTTAATTGAAGTGTCAATGCCAAAAAATGTTTGAACCATTAAAAGTGTCAACGATTTAAAAACGAACATCTAATTATAGTCACTGTTTTGACCTCCCAACTGGAAACGGAAACTCCATTTTCTACGTGTTCATCCGAGCAACGCGAAGGCGAAAGCGAGGGTTTTTAGGGCAAAGGCAGTACCGTCTTATGATCACGAGTGTTAGCTACCCAACTGTTAGCTTCAAACTATTTATTTTTCTTTCAGGACAGGCTATTTGATGGGAAGTTTCCACAAATGCTTTTCAAACTTGCTTTGCGCTGAAATAGGAACAGAATACTAGTAGTGAGCACTTTAAATTACTATAGCACTCGATCTGTTGTCAATACGCAAGTTCCTAATGAGGAATTCAAGCGAAACCACTTAAGCTGTCCCAGGAGGGCGGCTACCTTAATGACCGCGAGCTAAAAATCAATATTCTTTGTTTGTTCACCCTCGAGAAACAATACCCTCTCAGATACTTATACAAGAACTCGAGACTCGATGCAATAAATGTAGATTTTAATAATTTGTTCGGTACTCGTTAAGCTCACTACACTCCTACAAGAAGCTCCCGGCTAGCGCTATTGATCGTCGTTAAAGTTTTGCGGCCTGTTTTTTGAAGAGGTATGACGAATCAAGAGAAACCGGCGACTAAAGCTTTGTTTAACAACAGCCACGACTTGCTTTTACACGAAACTTGTGCGCTGGGAGATGACGGAAAACTGGAAGAGTTAGGAAGTTTTATTCGCGGTGGAAAGATAGATGTTAATTCGAGAGATGAAGAATGGGGTGACAGGACAGCGATGCACTGGGCAGCTCTTAGAGGTAGAGAGTTTAGACTGATGCCAAGTTATTTCAATCTGTTTCTCTAGGAGGATTAATTTGTCTGAAAGTTATTTAAAGTTTTGAAGACATAGTTACATAATTACACGGAGTTTTCTTCCCCTTCATAATCTCAATTTACCCTTGGCTCAAGCTGTAGAGAAGTCTGGTCCTTTTGCCGGCGATTCACTTTGTACTGAAGGTTTTGTACTCAACGTTTTGTCGCTGTGAGACAGTAAAATGCCTGGTCCTGTTATGGGTGCGCAATAGATTGTATACAATATACAGACCAAGACGAAAGAGTCTTAATTTGATTTTTTTCTCCCTAGTCCTTGATTAGGTTTGACTACATGTGATGCAGGATGTTTTAAGCATCTCAGAACCTTTTCCTCGATTCACAACAAATATCTAGATTTTGCTTTGAACTCTCAAGTGGAAAGGTTGTTAACAGTGACGTCTAAAACTTCTTAAGCCGCGTCTACACGAACAACTTTTGAATAGCCCTGACCAGGAAAAACTTGTCTTGTTTTCCATTTACACGGACAAGTTGCAAGTTACGTTTATACGCCCCCACGCCGTTGCGGTGGTTCCCTTGATAACTTACCCGATTTCAGTCCATAATGGGCAAAATGTTTCCTCCTTTTCAGATCAAAACGCGACTCAAAACTCATACCGTTTGGTACGGCACATACCTATAGAGCTTACATACGGGAGTACCCCCTCCCTTGGGGTGTGCGGTTAGCGCTCAAATTACTGTGCCACTCATGCTTCCCGATTGGTCAACTTCATACGTAAGGATTATTAGCGTTCAATCCTGGACATATAGTTTTGTCCTAATTGAACAGTCCCCCGTTTATTTCATGCAGTCTTGCTTAGCGGGTCTGACGTTTGTTCAACTTTAGTTTTATTCGGGTTTCTTGACAGCCGTATATCGTGCGATTATACTTACTTCCAGGGGTTATTCTTCAACAAATAAATGCCTGAGGGGCTAGTCTGCAGTGCAGGCGTATTTTGGGCGGGCGAAAGCTGCTTGATTATGTTCGTACTATTGTAACCGCCACCTTTGTTATGACGGGGGAAGATTAGGGAGAGTAAAAATAGTAACCCTAAGGGTAGGTGCTTGAGCGAAAGAAGGAAAGAGGGGAGGGGAGAAAAAAGTACAAAAAGACTATACCTAAGGTTTTCTCTTCTCTCTTCCCGCCCCCTTCCCCGCTCCTTTTGACTCGCCCCATTTTCTCCCCTCTTTTCGAGTTAAAACATGCGCTTTCGCGAGCAAAACATTCGCTCGCCCGAAGAAAACGCCTGCACTGCAGGCTAGAGGGGCTTATTTACAATTATCCTGAGAGTCAAACTTATAAGCGGCCCCCGGTTTTCGCAATTTTGCTTCCCATATTTACTGTAAATTTGACTTTCCTTGAGTGGACATCTCCATAAAGCGGACACGGTCGCCCTCTACTAGGCTTCCCCGCTGGCTAATTGTATTGCATTTTACCTCTATTTAACGGTCAGCTAGCCGTATAACAGGGCAATGGTTTGACACGACAGTAGACATTCCTGAATGGTTGTCCTTGGTTGGCATCCACCGACAGCGCACGGTCTACAGACCCTTGTTATATGACCAGAGCTTTTATTGCAGCCAACCTCAAAGAAACCCCTCCCCTTCAGGGAGAGAATCAAAAGGAACCTCAAATAAAAAGAAACTCGTATCCTCTTGATTAGTCGTCCGGGACGTTTACGCAGCTCATAGGCCTCTTTAGGAAGCTCGCGATCAATGAATCGGTCATTTTGTTTCAACAGTTTATACTAGATGGGACGCTCTGCTGTTGCTGCTAATAATCTAGCTACTTTGTTCCAAGCAAATTTGCCTTTTAGTTCGATTAAGCGTTCACTGGCTGTTTCCCAAGGGTGGCCGCTTAATATGATACAGGGTTGAGTATCCTTTCCGCTTTTTGTTTCCAGGTCATGCTAAATGTGTGAAACTTCTTTTGGAATATGGTGCTGACCCAGCCGCGCGCATGGTAGGAGGCTGGACGCCGGCTCACTGCGCGGCAGAGACTGGACGCTTCAATGTACTCAAAGTCTTTATCGAGCAGAAGTCCCCTGTTATGATCCCGGACAACTCGGGAGACACTCCGAAAAGAGTGGCAGAAATCTATGGACACGCGTCTTGTGTTGAACTTCTAGAAAGGTAAATGTTTTTAGAGAAAGGCACCAGCCTTCCAATCTGCGGCTGTTCGCAACCGATGAGTGCAAATGACTATACAGCTATCTTGGGGCCGGTTTGTATGAAGAAAGGTTGTTCCAGGAAAGAGGGTTATACCCTCCCAGCTGAGGGAGCGCGAAAAAAGTTGACCCCTGTGCCCGAGCCAATAGCGTTCGCACGTGCTCTGGTTGTCTCGCCTCGACCGAGCTGACCCAGCAGAGTGAGCCAAAGTGTTTATATGGAGTAGCCCGCGTAGCAGGCGTCAAAAGGGGATAGGGAGGAAGAAAAAAACGGGAAGGAGATGGATTAAGGAGAGAGCGTAAGGGATGCCTGCTATAAGAATCCCCTTTTGTTCATTTCTGCGTCCGCAAATTCCTGATTGGCTGAGCCGTAATGGGTAATTTATTAGTGTGTATTCTGGCATGTATAAGTGAGAGACAACCATGCATGATACAGGCACTAAGGAAATGTGTTCTACTAGCATAAGCTTTAGAAGATCAAAATTACTCCTATCATGTAGCAACTTCACGTTGAAACCCGAACTAGAACCAATGTAATAGCTTGTTTAGCAGGCAGAGATGCTCAGGAAGTTTTGTATACTAGATTTGTCCAAACACTGAGCGGTGATTCGAGGCGATTGCGATTCTTGCCAGACATCTGCAATGCCGATATTCACATTCGCAAGAGCACCGCTTATAATTACTCAAAGAGTTTTTGTAATTCTCCTTTCATTATTCGGTCTTATTCGCGTCTCATGCTGGCGAGTGTTCCGTTCTTTGTGACCATTAAGTTTGATGATGCAAGACGAAAGGTCTTGTGAATTCACAGGAAACTGATCATTGTTTGTCGTGTTTGCTGCGGGAGCAAGAACAGTAAAGATGTATTATTTTGCTCGATTATGATATCATTTGAAACAGGCCTGCATTTGAAAAAAGCGTCTCGACTTGACAATTTCCGGTAAACAAAGTATTAAATTAATTTTGCCAATGCTGAGAAGCGCCCCCTACTTGTGATTGGTCACGTACTGACAGTCGACGTTATCGGATTACGTTGAGAAATTGGTGGGCGAAATACAAAAACACCAGCTCTTATAGCAGGCACTCGCTTCCCTTTTCCCTTTTTGCGCTTTCTCCGTCCTACCTACCTCCCCTTTTTGCGCTTGCCACGTAGCCTATATGGAGCAAAGTTGGCCTGGTTGGAAGGGTGACCTGGCTAGGTGGATCACCCGTCCAGCCGACTGGGTGTACATTTTGTTTCTAATGTAAACAGTTCGCCACGTTTTTTATAGCGGAGCTCTTGCGCTTGCGCAGTGGAACACCATGGGTAAGAAAATTTGGTTATCTATGCATCCGATAAATTTGGTAGTGACTTGTAGTCACGTGACCGTGCGTCCGACCGATCGACCGCCGTCCTTCCGCATCACAGGCATACCAATGTAAAATAACTCAATCAACAGGTATGGCAACCCAAATGCAACTCGAGAGTTTTTTGGCGGGAAATTGCATGGCCAACCGCCCCGGGCTTGTGAAGCAGAGACAATTCAAGAGTCAACAAAGACAAAATGGAAAGCGGAAATTGTTTCTATATCTGGTCGGTTTAAAGTATTAAGCTTAGATTTATTGTCACGTCCACAAATTTGGAATACAGAGGAAGAGAAAGACAGAAAATGAGAAGTAGGCGACAGGCTAGCTAAGCTCGACGAGAAAAAGAGCGTCAGAGAGCTAGAGCAAGAGATAAAAAACAAAACAGACGAATTTCGTTGGAAGAACAACATGAAAATTTTATACTGGCGGTGAGAAAATGAGAAATGCCAGCGGTCAGCTAGCTGAAAATAAGCGGAGGTGAAAAGAAAGCGAACAGGAACACAAGTAACAAAATTTTTTGTGAGCACAACGACATTTTCTAATAAAACGTGTAACTAGGAAGGTTCACGTTGCAACAATAATGGCCAAAAAATGTGCAAAAAAGTGTGCTGCACGTGCCAATTTTTTTTTGCTCATTAGACCTATCGATTTTTTTGCCTTTCTCGTTACTGCCGCCGGTTAAGATTACACGATTTTATTTTTTGTTTGAGTAAATGGCCGTTTTTGTACTAAGGACGCATTATCCTTCTGGACGAACTTGGGCAAACATTTGTAGTCTTTCTGGTTATGCGTTTCAAGTATAAAGACGAGTACAAGACGCATTATGCGTCTGGAGGAACTTTCCTTCGAAATACGTCTTGAACGAGGTCAGCATTAGATCCCATCGGCCGTAGCCCCTTTCTCCCCTCATGAAATTTACACAAGGTAGAACTGTTTTCTGCTTTTATATCACATTAAGATGATATTTCAAGCTGGAAATGTTCATGAAAGTGCAAGTCTCTTCAAATTGAAGGAAAAAAATTGATACGTAAGACAGAACGTATTCGAACCCACGACCCAGTATACTACGCTAACCATTAGACCACTGAGAATTTGCTGGATGGAGGGGAAATAATTTAAGTACTTATAGCATCAACCCCAACACAAAAAAAGAACCTAACCAGTTTCGAAACAGTGCTTAGCCCTAATCTGTAAAAGGCAGTGCTTAACCCTGATCAGTAAAGGCAGTGCTCAACCCTAATCGGTAAAGGCAGTGCTTAACCCTAATCTGTAAAAGGCAGTGCTTAACCCAAATCAGTAAAGGGGAAAACTACGTTGTGTAAATTTCATGAGGTGTCTGAACGGGCAACAGTCGACGGGATCTATTGATAACCCTTGAACGACGCACTACGAAAGGTAGTTCGTCTGGACGCATAACACTTTTAGTGCCCGTCTTTATACTAGAAACGCATAACTAGACGAACTACAAAATGTTTTCCCAAGTTCGTCCAGACGGACGAAAAGTATGAAAACGGCCAATTGTAAATATATTAACGAGAGCTTCGCTTTTAGCCCTGGCTAAATCTATATATTGGGGTAGTGTACGAAAAGTTGGCGCGCCCAGGGCAGCTCGAGTAGTCCGGTGACCCTTTTACCCGGGACAGCCTTTCTCTCTATGAACGTGGCTTTACAGTGCTGTCACGCCCTGCTCTGTTGGCTTAGTTGTGTTGTGCTGCTGTCTTGCAAAGCTAATTTTCTGCTAATTTTCTGGAATCAGCGTTACTGCCTTGTTTGCTGATTGCAATTTACAACTTAGTTGCTGGATTTTTATTGTTATTATTTGAGCGGCGCCCAAATTAAGTTTCCGGGATCGCCAGATTGGCTTCATGGTTGTAATAGGTCTGCGGGCAATAGTGAGCATACAAAGGTAGCCCTAGTCTACGAACGAAGAAGTATTTGCTTTTGTCGCTTCTTGCTGTCTTGAAATACATCTGGGCTCGCAGTTTAGGGGAAGGCGCTCCCCTAATGTAGTTTGTCAATGGTAGGAAACAGGTGATTTTACGAATTGTCTTTGTTTGTTGCAAGAGTTTTTGAGATCGTAAATGTGGCTCAGATGAATAAAGAGATTGTTTCATCACTCTCACTACCTCTATGTTTAACAATACGCAATTGCGAAACAATAAACCAGTCTAAATTTAGAGTGAAAAGGATAGATTTGTGGCCCAGCTACACTGAAGCAGTCAAAATAGCCTATGCAGGTTCAACTTGTCTATGCTTAGCTCAAAAAATTTATACTCTTATGTTGAAAATGGAACATAGAATGGAATCCTCAGTTTTTGTTTTATGTCTGTTTCAGGAAGGCTGCGTGGGGGCATAAAAATGGGAGTGAGAGAGGAGGGGAAAACACGAAATCTCCGGCAATCCCCTTCCCTGACATTTTCATTCATTTCCTTTCACGTTTTTCTGTTTTTTTTTTTTACATGAACTCGCCTAATTAAACGCTTTCAAAGCGTCTTGTTTATCTTTACTCTTTATAACGACAAGGCTGGAGCCCAGCCACGTCTCCTCTCCTGCCTCGATAGCTGATAATGGAAAAGGGAAATCGAAAAAAGGGAATGACTAGGATTGACAGCCGTCGGTTGCAAAGAGACTTTTAGTTTTTACTAAATTTAGTAAGTTATGGTAATACCACTGATCGTAATAGGCTATTTTCACGATGACAACTCAGGACAAGTGGCTTAATCTTAATGAAGATTTCTTAGTCATTTTCGTCATCTCTCTTGGTTCAAAGAAAAAAACTGAGTGTCCAACGGTCCAAACGACATTTCAGCGCTTGGACGACAAATTATTTCATGAAGGCAAAAATGTTCATTTTTGGCCATTTCTTTCTCTCTTTTTTCAGTGCCGAAGAGTCGCCAGTGCAAAAGCAACTTCTTATTCGCGACAAGTTTCGCACCAAGACAAGGAAGATTTCACGAATAGTAGCTGAGAAAGGCCTGGAGGGTCTTCAGGATAAGGCCATAGAACCTGCAAGCTAATGGTTGGTGATTTTTTCCTCCGTCTAAAATTTCTTATGGTCTACTTGTTACATTTGCTATCAGAGTATGTCTTTAAAATCGTTGCATCAGAAGCAGGCATTCTTGGTGCTAACAGATTTAGGGTGACCCTCGGCGAGTAATTCTTGAATTATGTGAGGACATGAGAACAACTCAGAAAAGCTCCATGAGTTTGTTTGGGGAATTGACGCTATAGAAACGCCAGCGCCACATCAAAAGTCGCGTGTGCTGGTAATAGATGACTTCATTTGACAAGGATGTTTTTTCTTCCTGGTCAAATGAACCGCGATATCTTTATCATCAACGTTAGTTTACATCAAGTCTTGTCATGGCGGTTCTTCTTGTCCAGTTCTACAGTTCAGTGGAGGCTCCTCAACTCGCTCACCATCAGAGTCTCTTTACTTTTGTCAGAACTAACGATTATATTCTCCATGTATTTTGGCATGTATCATCTTTGATTATTAGGAGGCCGGTGCTTTGCGTCGGAACATCGTCATTTTGAATTGCTGCGAAAGAATGGGCCTCTGTCGACTCCTGGAGACACAGGTAATCGAAGCCTACGCGTGGGCAAGCGGGAATTAGGGCACGAAAGATAGTCCACGTCAATAGTTGTATCGTCAAACTGGAGGTCCTGGTCTAAGCTGTCGTCAGCTATCTGTGAATGCAAGAAATACATATCTTGCAAACCCTAGCGAACTTCGGTGTTGCACCGCTCAAGTTAAGCCCTGCCGGTAGCGGTTAGAAACTGGATGGGTGATCAGCCGCGAATATCCTGCTGTAAGGACCGTCCTACTTTTTTTCTCTCTTGTCTTATTCTTTTATTTCGCGCTTTGGTATTCAAAGCCTCGTGAATCTTTATATTATGACAAATTTATCGTATTAACTGAGATGTAAAAATCGAAATACCATTGATAATTTACGATTCCGCGTAGCAAGACATGCAGTTTCGATTGAACCGTTCTCATGATTCTGCTTCATTCCTTTGCTGTATGAAAGGAGCTCTTGACAGGATCTTCAGGTTACCGCGACTGTAAACAACGCATCTACCCACCGATACAAGCCCGCATTGGCCAAGCTCAGAGTACTTTGATTTTCAACACTAAAGTTGTGATTGTTTACATCCGGAGCCCGCATATAAGAGCACTTCCTACGTTCAAAAGAAACAGTTGCCGCTAAATTCATGGCGGTTTGAATTGGAAGTTTGCATGAAACACTTGTAAAACACTATTGTACCACATTTTAAATTATATATTATCAGAGTTTTAAACTTGTCATCAGAGGATTAGTTTTGTACAAAGGCTTTTGTAAGATAAAATGAGAGAGACAATTAAAGTTGTATGTTGTTCTCATTTATTTTTCGCCAAGACGGCTGACTTGGCTCGGTCGGTAGAGCGCATGATTGCAGAGCGGAAGGTCGCGGGTTCGTTTTACGGATGACCACGTAAAATGGCGCGAGACGAAAAAATTGTGTCGTTCTAAATGCATTGATACTCAAATGAAGTGCACGTGCATCGAAGGCACTTGTATACTCTCACAGAGATATATATTTTTCTCGAATGGACCAACTTATTTCGATCTATTTATATGTATCCACCTTTCGTATTTTGGATGTACAATTTTTGTGTTCTTTACTTGTGCAACCGAAAGGCATCACTTTCAGTTCACTTCTAAACGTTGCAGATTCCCTTTCCTCTCGCGGGGTGGCCTTTTAATTCCACATTGGCATTATTATGCCTGCGTGCGTCTCCAGAAGATCTCCGTGAATCAATCCTAGATACTGGTCAAAGGTTCTTTTTAAATGAGATGTCGTTCCCACCTTTGTTTTTGGCCAGTCCAAGAGCTTTAAAGGATTAATGTTAACACTTGGACCACCTATGGTTTCAACGGATTTTGCCGTTTCTGTGAATTCATCCTTCTAGTGTTTCGATCAGTATACTGCAAGAACGTTTCTAAAATTCTTGAATGATAGCTACTCACTGCTGAGTGGTTTTTTAAGTGTGTGATGTTGTTTATGATACAGTGCAGAATAGTCATTTCTAACTTTTGATCTTGTGGATTGAATCTGAGATGGGAATGCTGTTTTCAGCTAAGACAGCTAATATCTTGGAGTCGTAGAGCGGAGGGTCAAAACCATTAAGACTTGGACCACCAAGCGTTTCTGTAGAGTACTAGATCGTTGATTTCAGTGAGTTTGTGGAAAGATTTATAGAGTTTGAGCCTTTACATAATTGCTTTCTATCCCTCGGCACTATTTTTTTGCCAGGCTGTTTATTATGCAGTACTGGGTTGTTCTAACTTTTAGTCAGTAAATGAAATCCTACATTGGAATGTTGTTTTCAAGGTGACCATATCGTTTTGGCTCATGTAGTCGTAAAGTCACTTAAGCTATTAAAACTTGGACCAGTAGTAGTATTTCGAACTCGTTTGAGCCATTCACACTGTTTACTTTTTTCTTATGGTGTTGTTTATGATGTAGTACGCGTTTGTGCTAACTTCCGCTCTCGTGCGGGATGAAATCCTGAATGGAATGTTGGCTAGTCGTAGAGTTATGAGGGCTTTTGAAACTTCGCCCGCAACATTTATAGAGTCTCAAACAACTCTTTGAGCCATTCACCACTATGCAATGTTTTCTGTGGCAGTGCTGTTATTTATACAGCACAGTATACTTCTAACTTTCGATGTTGTGGATGGAGTCCCAAATTGCAATGGCTTTGTTTTCAGCTAACTTCTTGACCTTTCTTAGCCAGGCCTGAAAGTCATGAAAATTTGGACAACCTAGCGTCCTTGGTTTAATAACGGATTACTAGACGATTTCAGCTGGGTTCATGGAATTCGTTGGTTCATATTCATGTGAGAAATGAAATGAGCACTTCTTACTTTTGTTACCCTTAACAATGTGCTGCAGTGTGGTTCGAGTGTTTGATCTTGTTATTGAAAGCCTAAATTAGAACATAGTTCTCCGCTAATGTCTTATCCATATACGTGGAAACCTGATGGTAATTTAAACTCGGATTATTTACCACTTCCAAAGACATTGGTAGCCTGCCAAAAAATCCACCTTTTAACTTTTCGCAGAATGTGCTTCTGCTGGGTCATGTACATGATAATAGAACCGAATTCAGTTGCTTGTTTAATTTTCAGCCAAGTCTAGTTGCTTGTCAAGTGCTTGTTGCGCCTTACACACAGTGGATACGAGAGGATTGCTACGAAGGCTACTTATTTATGTCCTTGTTTAAGGTAACATAACAAGATTTTTACTATTTTTCTCAGATACTTGGGTGTCCACTTGACTCGGGTCGTCTCGGATATGTTTGTCTAACTTGCACTCTTTCGTCCCTAGTGGTCACTGAAAAAACATTGCGTGATCACACGCCATCGATGGTCGTTCAATGACCCTCAATTTATCAGATCGCAGCATTCTTGGGACACGCCTATCGTCTGCAGACACGTTCTATCTTTATTTCTCCACCTTTAAACGCGTTTTCTTTGGGACGGCGCCCTTGCTGTGCCTTATGGAAACACTCATTATCTGAAGCTTATCTTCCAGCTCCTGCTATCGTTTGAATCTGTGGATGAAATCCTATGATGAAATCCTATGGTGGCAGTACTTTCACATATTATTAAATCACGATGTAATTCTCATTTTTGAGACCTTGGGATAATTCCTATGGTGAGACCATGTAAAGGAAACTTCTTTGGCGGTACTTTCACATGATACTCTTCATTCAGGATGTAATTTTAATTTCTCGGTCCTTGGAATACATCCTGTGGTGTGACCATACAAATGACACCTCTCTGGTATTTCTTTTACGTGATACTATTTATTTGGGATGTAATTCTAACTTTTGAGTCCTTGGAAAAATTCCTATGGTGTGACCATATAAAGCAAACCTCTTCGGCAGTACTTTCACATGATAATATTTATTTAGGATATAATTCTACCTTTTGAGTTCTTGGAATAAATCCTATGGTGTGACCATACAAATGCCACAGGACGAAACCACTTCAGCAGTACTTTAACGTGATATTATTTGTTCAGGATTTTATTCCAGCTTTTAAATCTTTTGAATAAATCCTATGATGCGACCATACAAATGAAACCTCTTTAGCAGTACTTTCACGTGAACGTATTTATTTCAGACTGTATTTCTAACTTTTGAGTCTGTTGAATAAATGCTGTGGTGTGACCAATCAAATGAAACCTCTTTGCAAATGCTTTAACGTGGTACCATTTGTTTTTGGTATTTTACAAATAAAAAACAACAACAGAACAAAACACACACACACACAAAAAAAGAACGGAAAGAAAAAATGCAATTTGCGGCAATTGTTGTTGTGGAGGGGTTGAAACAGGGTTTGCTCTTTCAGAACAAAGCCTGGGATCAATAGGGGCCCTGCGTACTTTATGACTACTACAAGATAAAAAAAAGCGTATCATGAATATGTACAATAAAAAGTTAAAAAAGTAATTAAAAATAATCAAATTCATTTGTAATTAACAACATTTTCCTGCGTACTAGGATGTAACTTAGATACAAGCATTGATATAAGTGATATAAGATGAGCAATAGCAACCAAGGATTGATGGTGATGATGAAGGATTTAAACTAATCTACAAAAAACACCGTTTGGAGAAGTTTATTGATTTGCTGAAAGTAACATACGTGTCTCTTTCCGCCTAGTAATTGCCCCCCTCTTCCCCTTTACGCATTTGCCCCTCCTTCTAGCTTAGTATAGTTTTCCTTAATCTCTAAGCCTCACGTCATTTCATATTCTATGTTCAGGGCAAATGTCATACGGTACTCCAGGTAAATCCCAAACGATTAAATATGAACTTAAATCCTCAAGTATTTTTTTTGGCGAAAGGCTGAATGTTTAGATTTAATTATTTGTTTTCTACTCGAATATGTACACTTTACCATTCTAAATTGCACACAAATTTTAGAAAACAGTAGCGTTTGAAAGTGTCATGCTGAAGAGGCTCATTTGAATGGAGGCAAATAGGATTTTTTCCATGGACTTTTGTCTCAATATCATCTTCCAGTTTTGAGAGGTTTTTTAAAGTTTTTTTTTTTCAGCGGAATGTTATGCATGCCTGTTCATTTATTATTTACGAAGTTGTTTTTTACATTTGTTTTTGTTCACCGTGTTATTTCTTGTAACTGCCTTTTTTGAAGTTGTTAGGAATCTTGGTTTTTGTGATCTGCCAAACTGATTTAATGTACGGCTACCGATTGAATGAAGCTGAGGTTTTCTTTCCTATTACCAACTGAGCTACGAGCTCGGTCCAGCTTGCAACTGATTCAGTCTTATGGCGTCAACCGCTCCCTTACACAACTTTACTAGTGTCGTCATTGAAGGTATTAAAAGGCACCCTGGTGATGCGACGTATAAAGGATTCTTTTTGGAGGCTTGCCTAGAGGTTTTTTTGAGACGCTAGTGAAAGAGCTTTAGACTTTTCCTTATCAACTCCTACTGTTCTNAACTTTACTAGTGTCGTCATTGAAGGTATTAAAAGGCACCCTGGTGATGCGACGTATAAAGGATTCTTTTTGGAGGCTTGCCTAGAGGTTTTTTTGAGACGCTAGTGAAAGAGCTTTAGACTTTTCCTTATCAACTCCTACTGTTCTCGGAAACGAGGTCTAGACTGTGGCGCAGCTCTAAACTGCTTAAAAGTGAGCTTTTTTCTTTTGTAGACGATTTATTTTTACGCGCCATTTCCAAGATAGTAATCGTGAAAACTATTGCGAAAAACGCGCGGGACGCCGGCTGAGGAGAGAGAGAGTAGGCGTCTTCCCTAGTTTACGCGCGTCATTTTCTCGCTTGGCATATTTTCGTGACATCCCTTCTTTTGGGTAAAATGGCGCCAGTTTTTTAGGTTTTATAGCTATGCCTGAAAAAATCACCAAAAAATATTATAGTTATTGCTCTCTGATGAAATGTTTTTTTATATCTTCCTCGTAACTTTACAGGAGAAATTTGTGTGTGGGTAAAGGAACTGAGTAATGACTTAAGCACAAAATTGACCTAAAAAAAAGAGGTATCCTCGTTACATGGCCCCTTTAAAATTTGCAGTCACATTTATATCATTGCGAATATGCCCCTTATCGATATTTCAGTCCTAACGGCATGCAGGTTGTTCGTCACATGAGCATGACTCTTCTGTGGCTCAGTTGAAGAGCATCTGCACTTTAACCAGATTACTGGTTGAAGAAACACAATTCTCCACCTTGAAATTACCAGCGCTATCGAAGTTCGAATTACTGTTCGGTATGATGATCATACGAGGAGTAAAGGAG